CCCCCCCTACTTTATACTCTGTCAGCGACGACTGATCCCCCCTTAGTTCTTCCTGAAAACCATGTGATCCTCCCCAGATATCCTACCCACCCCAACTCCTAGGCGATATGTATACTGAGTTGTCACAAAAACACCTGGTACCTGTTATTGTTCAGTTGTGAAATTAGTAACCGTTGCTTACCTCGATGAAAATTTTATCGTTAAGGTGCCTGTAATTCTTGCTTGTTTTACGGTGAGAAGTTTTCTGTTTTGGGCACATTCAGTCGAACCGCAGGATGCCACTTGATCAAACAGATTTATCAAATAATATATGATTTTCTCGTAAAAAAATAAACAAATAAAAGTACCTGCCTCTCCCCCTTCATCACAAAAAAGCTATATGTTGGAATGCAATAACCAGATTAGTTACTTAAAAAAATTATTGTATCTTTCTGTCAGAACTTCTGAGTTTTGTTGAAAATTGGTGCGATTCCATAAGAATGTTTTATATCCTTTTGAATTTGACTGAGCAGGTCGGACAATTTTGATAAATCGATTCAATTTTTTCTTCATGAAAGGAGCCATAGCTGATTAAGGGTTGTTACCTCTAGTCAGGAGCCCATCACTTGGGATCCTGCTTTAGTACAGACAGGATAATTTAGTATTATCAGTTGAGTTGATAACGCAAATTGGCTACCGTAGAGCGTTTCAAAGCTGACATTTCGAGCCGGTTAGCCCTTTGTAAGAGCGAAACGGACAACCTCGTTCCCAGGGTCCTCTCTCTTCTTCCTGTTGCATGGGAAGAGGAGAGAGGACCCTGGGAACAAGGTTGTAGCACAGGTTAGGCCAGATTTCTAAAATAATTTGTGACCTTTCAAAGATGCATAATTTAAGTTTGTCGAGTTGGGAGTGAAACAGTTGTAAACGGCCTTTGAACAACATGGTACGCGTAGCTTATACTTATGAGAAATTATGCGTCTGTACTCCTCTCTTGGTTGGCCCTGGTTCACCGGATTATTCTTTCGTGTAAACAACCTCTTAGGAATAATTTAGTTGTCAGCTTGCCAGCCCTCTTAAGATAGCCGCTGTTTTGAAATTAAGCCCGGGCTCGTCTTTCGTAGAGGAGAAACGGAAGAGCGGAGACTGAAAGCAAGCGCATCTCTCAAAATAACACCGATACGTCGTCCGATACGTTGAGATTATTATTCTAGGGAGGTTTCCTGAGTGCGCCATAACAAAGTTAATTATCTATCACAAATAAGGATCTCACCTCAATTATCTTGTTTATCATCACGTAGAGAAACATTCTTTGTAATCTGAGCTAATTGTGTTCGGTCTGTTGAACATGCGTGATATGCAAATAGATACAAAACATTATTCTAACTTAGTAACGCAATCAGTCGCGTTGATCTGCACGGGAATCTTCACAGGAAGTCGCTGCAAATTTGCCTCCTCCGTGTTTGACGTGCAATCAAACTTCAGCGTTTTCTTACAACAAAAATTAAGGAACGAAGACAACACGAAGCTAAGTGGAACGGAATTGTTGGGTTAGGTAAGTGATTTGCGATCTATTCTCTAGCTCTACATGTGATCGCTCTCCATTGTTTTTCTTGATCTATATATTTCCTTCCTACGTTTTATTTTCTGATAAAATAATCCTGTTATTGAATAGTTTCCTTAAACTTTGGTGGGCATTATGTTGTAAGAGGTCGATCGAAGCTAGTAGCAAATTCCTTTGAGTCAAATTGAAATGGCGTTATGTAATGATAAATCGCGTATTAATAAAGTAAACAGTCAAAGGAACGGTGCTGTTTTTTATATTCTCATGGATTGTGGGTGTAATTGCATTTACACGTTTAGTGAAACAGATGTGAAACCATGCTTAAGTTATTTAAAAGCTTTCTTAAAGGTCTACTCAAGTTTTACATGATACACCAAGAGCTGGAATCCTGCTAAAAAGCTGTATGCTGTAAGAGTCCGACCGTATGAAAGAGGAGATCACTTATTGCATTATGAAATTAGCGCATTTCGTAACTTTGAAACTGTGAAATTACGGCAGTTCAGATTAGCATATTGATTGCGCTTTGAGTGATGCCATATACCTTATTACCAATTTGTTTATTCTCCTTGCAAAAGACAGGATTAGACGTATACCGATAAATTTCAAAATTCTCAGAATCATTACACAATCATGTACAAGACCTTGGACTCCGGATTTTGGGATTTTATGAAATAAATTCGCAGGCGACACGATTACGAATTCTTAAGTAAAACAGATTACCCTTGCATAGAAAAATTTGGTCGATTTTAACAAGCACCTGGACAGTTCAAGAAGGATCGCTTTTATAAAAGAGTTAATTAGTTTTACATCGTAAGCACAGCAACGAAAAGCTGCCGCGCAAGAACGCAGCTGAGGCGGGCCATTTCAGACAAGTGTGGAGAATAAGCTAGTGGAAAAAACATATTTCTTCCCAAGAAAAATCGAGGAAAATTCTTTATAAACATTCATGAAGATAAACTAAATAGAAAGCTACGAATACCGAAAGGTGAGAAACAAACCATGTCTCTCATATTTATTTATTTATCTCAAATGAAAATTTGCACATTAATTATATCAGCTCGTGAATGGTTGCCAGCCGATTCTCGCGTTATTTCAAAAGCGCACTGTGCCGTGGATTGCGATATTTATAGATGCTGTCAGTTAGAAACGGAAAAGGAAAGGAGGAGAACAATATAGGCTTCTCGTGATATTTTTTTTTCGTTGCAGAAAACGAAGCAAAGAAATATAGTAGCGTGACCTGCATGTGAACTGTCGTCTGATCGTGTGTAAAATGTTGTGGGCGACAAATTTGATGTTGGACTTTGCCATGGTCCGGGGGGGGGGGGGGGGGGGGGGGGGGTAAGTGAATCAATTTTGACTTTGTGCCGTTGGCCTCTCAGAACCCTTACCCCGCTATTGTCTATTCTGGGGCCCATTATAGACTCCATCTTAGGGCGAATGTAATTTTTCCGATCCAACGGTAACGCCTTTTAATCGCGAATCTTCCAATGTTTAAATCCCACCTGCCCGAATTTTCATATCTCCGAAATCCCGAAAATGTGCGACCCTATTCTAGTAACTCTATTGAAAATGCAACCTCATAAGAGTCAATCCTGTCGTGAAACTGCGAGCCCATCCAGCGGCACATCCCCATTAGCTTTTCACGGGCAAGAACCTTCTTCCACCAACCCCCATGGCACAGGGCGTGAAATTAACTTTTTTTTCTGATAGCCACTTGGCTCCTAGATTCTTCAAAGTGGTAGCCAATTAAAAAAAAAGTTGGTCGCTATTTTCAAAGACAAACAAAATCTTTCTTTACGCTGTCAGCGTTCTAGATAGACCCTCCAAAATTAAGTTAGGGAAAAGATCTTTAACGTGCTACAAAGTGGACACTAGGATAGATGACATACAACGTTCAGGCTCATCTAAATCCAAGATGGCGTCTAGTTATCGATCGAGATGCATGTGCTACGTTTTGGAAACAAACTTAACGAGGAAGTTTGCCGCGGATTTATCTTTGCAAATTTATTTAATTCACTATGTCTCTTAGTAAGGTTATGATGAAACGTTGTAGTCGCCAATTTGGCGACTAACTTTCAGGATTTGGTCGCCAAAGTGAAAAATTTAGTCGCATTGGCGCCTGTATTAGGCGCAATTTCACGCCCTGTGGCACCATAAGTCTGTCACGATTGTGCTTGTTAAATGCTAGAAAGTTGCGCACTGAAATAATATAAAGTTGTTTGAAAATGCCAAAAATCCAAATATTTGCTACCCGAAATTTCAAAGGTTCCAAGCTAAATTTCTTGATACCTATATGATTGTTAATTAAAAGTTTTATTTTCGATCTTTACAACTATTGCTAACATCAGTCAAGAAAAATAACTTATAAGTTAGCTTAGAGGGGTAACTGACGAGTATGGGTGGAATTTAAGGACACACTTAAGTCTAATGGAACAAGACACTCAACGGTTTATTTTGTGTCCTACCGAACGTAACGTGCGACAGGTCATGATTTTAACAGGATGATAAACATCCAAAAAATTTGCATAAACTGAATTTAATTGTGAAATCTTTGACTTTTTCGTGCTTGATGTATGCTTGAAACCTAAATTTTGCGCAAAAATTGCAAAAAAAATCCTTGTTTTTGATAGAATCGCAAAATAGGGGCTTAAGTTGGATTAGAAGTAAAAAAATGCTCGCCTATTGAACCTTGTGAAAAGTTAGAGATGGATAGCCTTGTGATGGATTATTCCACCAACTCAGCAGAACAGAGTCGCTAAATGATCGTTAATCCTTCGTTACTCTCACCTCAGTCGGGATTCACTCGCCGAGCTATTGAAATAACAACTTGGAAACTCAACTGGAAAGATCATAGCTGAATTAGCAATTTTTTTTTTCTAAACTCATACTCCGTTTTCCAAATTCTAAAACAAATTCGCCATATGAAAGGTTTCGTTAAGCAATGTTGGGTAGTATGTAAGCTATTTATAAATTAAGTAGCCTACATGTCGCCTTACCCTCCCCCCTCCGAGGTGAAATAGAGGCGAGGGAGGGCTCCCTCGGTTACGTTTCACCTTGGGGGGAGGGTAGGTTTACACTTAGGCTATATATTAAGCTGAATTACTCACGAAGTTTGATTGGTTCTTTCTTACGATCTGTTGGTGGACAGATGCATAGGCGATGTCACCATTAAACGAACAGTTTTTTGCTTCGTTATTAGATAAAACAGATTGCATGTTGTCGTGGGTCTCTGTTCAGATAAAGATCGCAGATGTCAAAATGAAGTAAAAACATTAATGATGCACTTGGCTGACACTCTTGTGTCACGCTGTTGTCTTTACCTCGTTTTGACCTCAAAAGGTGATTTATTAATG